CTCGTTCTAACAAACATTTAAATATGTAATGGATATGTATTTAGAGCTATTTTGTTCCAGGTCAACGGTCTAAGGCAAAGTCCGACGTGATTCGCACAGCGAGAATATAACGTGGATCTATAACGTTCTAATTGCGGAATCGTTCGGATTTCGCAAACAGATTTATCGGAACACGGAACGAGAAAGAAGTTGTTTCTGCTCGGCTCGACAGAAAGCGGAAAATCAAAGCTGAGCGGCAGGTACCCCACAAAGAAAGAAATCGAAAGAAATCGAAAGAAATCGACGACTATCCGCTGCATGCTTGCAGATAAGGAGTTACCTTACGTTTCGAGTTGGCGAGGAATTTAGCGAAGCGGTAACAAAGGTAAGAAGACTCGATCCAGACCTCGTTAAAACTGTACAAACGATACAAAGTGTACAAGAGAGGCCCTATAGAAATTCAAAAAACGAGGCAGACGATCGCGATTCTATTCGAGGAAAGTCCTTCTCCCTGCGGAGTGGTCGTTTTACCAAAACTCTGTGAGAGTCTGCGCGTGGAAAAGCCCTGACGCAGCCTCTCAAAAACGCGGCAGCTTCTCGGGCAAATTGGAGGAACCGACGAGACGCGGTTCCGAAGTACGTTGCCTTCGTTCTCGAAAATACCAAGAAGCCCCAAATCTGATCTGCGTGGAAAGGACCAAAGTGAAAATTCCCAGCTAGCAAAGAGCCACGATCGAATGTCGCGGATGACGACACGTGTGAATTCGATACGATTGTTAATTGGTTTGGTGACTGACAGATTCGAGAGCGTGTTTCGATCCGCGGATCAGGTTACCAAAAAATTATTTTTCTCGCAGACACGAAACGGTGAAAATTTTATTAGCTGCCGAGACGGTCTTTTCGACGACAAATCGATCGATGGATATCGATCAACTCTTTGCAACCTCCTTGGAAACATTTTTTGTACCATCTGTCAGTAATTTATTTACGAAGTAGTGAGTGAAGTGTCACTTCGAATAAAATGGCACAGCATTGGAAATAATCATCTTGTTCAAATGGCACTTGGCATGATATTTTGTCGATATTATATTTTTCTAACACAGATGTTCGTAAACGATGCATAATTTGCAATCTTTTGCAAAATTTTCTTCGTCATTTTATAAACCCTGACGAGAAGCAGCAAGAAGTGTATACGAATCTATTAAAAATTTCTTTTTTTGAAATTTTACTATCCTTCTCTCACGTCGTTATATTCCATCATATCGTATCAAAACACCATACCTACGTTCATTCTAATTATCAACGGTTATAACAAAACTTAATAATCGTAGCCGAGCTGAGAGACGGTCGAGTGCAAAGGGTTAATACACGATCGACGAAGATCTTCCTTCCCTCCCGTGAATCACGCGCCGACGTTGCTTTATCCAACAGCGGGGATCCTAACTAGAAAACGATGAACCGTTTCCACCGAGCCAGCCTTCCGACTGAGACGTCTCGATTGAAAAGGGAAATTATTTTCGCGCTCATCACCTTACACGCTCCGCCAGTGTTTCCGCGGCTCCTCTTTTTCCTCTTTTTGCCTCTTTCCTTCTCTTTCCCTTTTTTTTTTTTTTTTTTACACAGCCAACGCCAGTCAGTCGCTTCCATTACACGTGTTCATCAGCCGACAGCAGCACGAATATATTCCACGGAAACCGATGCCGCGCGGAGAGTTCGCGTGCGCACGTGGGGGGTAAAATCTGGCCTACCGATAGATTCCGAGCAACCCCTCGGCCGTGTTCCGTGGCTAACAAAACCACCCCTGCGCCGACGAAACGATAGCACCCCCGTTTTCGCGGCGTGTCACGCGAAACTTTCACGAACTCTACCCGCCCTTTCCTTCCCACCCCCTCCCCCGACCCACCCGGTCTTCCGGTTCCTTCCTCACGATATGCATTGTCGCCTGCCTCTCCCCTAGCTAGACTCGTTTGTCGCGACCGTTTCCTTCGGTTTCTAAGACACCTGAAGTTTCCCAAACAAATTTCGCGAGACCGTTTCGTCAAGGGAGGATGAAATCGCGATGAAATTTATTCATTTACAACGCCGTTTGCCACACGTGAACGCGTTGGCAACAAGTTTTCGATCAAACGTCACCGAGTAATCACTAAATTTCTGGGATGTAGATGAAGTAGAAAAGAGTATTTGTTGAAGTTTATTCTCATTCTACTGTAAGATTTGATCATTTAAAAAACAAACCTCGTCTTAGACACTAACGGTGTCTCGAAGCTAAATTTCGCCAATAATATTCCTTCGCCCACCGTTCCCTCGTATTTTACGAGACCCTTCCGCCAAGGGAGGATGAAATCGCGATGAAATTTATTCATTTACAACGCCGTTTGCCACACGTGAGCCTTGGCAACAAGTTTTCGATCAAACGTCACTAAATTTCAGGGATGTAGATAAAGTAAAAAAGGGTATTTGTTGGAGTTTATTCTCATTCTACTGTAATCTTTGATCATTTAAAAAACAAGCCTTGCCTTAAACACAAGGTGTCTCGAAGGTAAATTTCGCCAATAATATCCCTCCACCCATCGTTCCCTCGTATTTCGCGCGAATCGATCGAAACGCTCGCGTATCTGCATAATCGCGGTGTAATGGCCGGTCATGTGGCCGGCGGTTAATTAAAGTCCCGGCCGGCGAAAAAAAGAAAAAAAACTCGCCGCTAAAATCGCGGAATGCCGAAAGACGCGGGCAACAACAACTCGATAAGCGAGCAAAACAGCCAGGCCAGGTTCGTTTCCCAGTTGTTTCGCGTTGCATAGGCGCGCTCGAAGTGTCTGCTCGAACGTACTCGACAGAGCGGTTGAAAACATCGCTCGTCGCGCGAGCAACTCGAAAGCCATTGTGTATTATTTAATGACTTCGAAACCCATTATCGCGGATCGCGAGACTTGCCGATTTTCGCTCTGCCACACGAACCGACGGAAATCCAACGTCTGTGAGAGATAGAAATAGGAGAGAGAGAGAGAGAGAGAGAGAGAGAGAGAGATTGAGGTGACCACATTACGTTACTTATGCCAACCGAATCCATCATACTCTAGGGATGGCTATTGAAAAACCCTGCAATCCAACGAAAAGAAGTTAAGTGTGATGAAGTAGCGGCACACACAAACACACACACACACACACACGCACGCGCGCGCGCGCGCGCACACACGCAGGGATATAAGCGACAGAGTGTTGTATCCAGTGGCAAATTTTCCGACAGATTATTCTGAAAAATTGCCACGGGAGAAAAGCAAGATCATGGAAATCCATCTCCTATATATTTTCTGGCCACATATTAACAGGAAATTGGATGCCTCGAGTAACGGTGTTTGGACGGTGCTCCAGATTCGCTGTTTTTTCGATCTCGCCCGCGATCCGTGCATTTTTTAAAACACCCTCTCTTTCGCCAGAAGAGGCGGGAGAGGATTTACGACGGAGGACCGTCCTCTCTTTTTTTTTCCCCCCGGCTGAATGTTGAAGCAGCTTCGCGGCTAAAGGATCGAGATACATCGAAAAATCTATTTATATCCGGTCGTTGTCGAGAAGGTACTCGATTATGCGCGAAATGTATCGACAACACCGGGCTTCTTCCTCCTTACTTGCGAGGCTTCTCCGCGAGGCAATCTATCCCGCGAAATCACCGCGAGATTGAAATTTACGACGCACCGATGTCCCCATCGCGCCATTGACGAATTTTTACCGACGCAAAGCGCGCAACACGGCCTCCCAGTTGTTGCAACGACGCGTCATAAATGGCGAATTATCGGCCAAATATTTAATAACCGCACTGCGGACGTTTGCCTATTAAATGTTGCAAAAAATGTTGCTGCAATTTGAATAATTCCTGCTCGTTTCGTGTATTTTTGCACCATCGAGCGTGCGTGCAAACAACCGCAACCCGCCGTGCATTGCTGTTAAACTTCAATCTGCAATCGAATTCCGGCAGAAAGCGAGAAGAGTCTAAATTCGGCAATCAGGGCTTCCCTCTCTCTTTCCTTCCCTCCCTCCCTCCAAGGGACAACTCCAATCTCGTTGAACCTCACGGACCAATCTTTGGAACAGAAACCGCAACCACGGGCCAACGGAGGGGACAACCAAGCCAACAGGTGTTACGTAACGAAATTTCATTAAAAAAACAACGACCAGTTATCGAGCCAAGCGTCTCGGAATAACTTACTTAAATCCATCCTGATCTCTGCCGGCCGGTCCGACGGGAGTCGACTCGATCGAGCGTCCCCGTCTCTTCGAAGTCGCACGCGATCCTAAAGGATAAAAGCACCGTGGCCGCGGAGCGGGGAGAGAGAGAGAGAGAGAGGCATCCGTGCGGATGAAATCTCCAACAACCCCGCAATTTCTCGTTTTCTTTGCCTTCGGTCCTTTGCCACTCCTCTTCTTCTCCACTGCCGCGAAACAGACGACGCGTGCGACGACGACGATATCGGTAGCAAAGGAATTGCCGGTATCGCCCTCGATACCGTAGTACCTAGCTCCGGGACGAGAACAATAGAGGCATGCACAAAGGGCAAAGATGCGTTCTCTCTGTGAGCCGGGAAGAAGCGAAGCTCCGCTAGGCAGCCTATGAGTTTCGCGTTCCGCGTTCTAGTACGTATATACAAGGGGCGCCTCCAGCCTCGGTCCTCGTCCTGTCTGACGAAGCACACGCTCGCCTGGCGTACGAAGGTCGAAGGAAACGAGCCAGTCGAGTTAACACGAGGGTTGGAGGAAGAGAAGAAAGAGGGGGGGGGGCGAAGAGGGAGGGAGGGAGGGAGGAGATATGATGGAGGGAGTAGGATGGTTTCGAGTAGGGGTGGACGAGAAGAGCGTAGAAGAGGAGAGAAGAGAAGAGAAGAGAAGAGAAGAGAAGAGAAGAGAAGAGAAGAGAAGGGGTTGGCCTATCGGCTCGGGGTTGCTCGGAATCTATCGGTAGGCCAGATTTCACTGACACAGTCCCCGGCTTACCGGCACACGCAAACGATATCCTCTCGCTCGCTCTGGCGTCCTCTACTACCGCCGTTCTCTCCCCCACGGGTCGGCTGCCGCTACGGGTGGTGAAAGACGACGGCGACGAGCCAAGAGGAGAGTACAGCCAACAGAGGAGAGCAGGAGAGATCGGTTGCGGGGCGCTTGCGCGCGCACTCGCACTCGCGCCGCTCCTCGACGTCGTTTTGCAAGGAAATTGATTCTGCGCGAAACGCCAGGCTACGAGGGAGCATCGTCAGAAGAGCCGGGCTCCGCAGACCGCGCACACACCGCACAGGGGGTTGTTCGCATCGTTCGTCTCGCACGCCACACTTCTCCGATCCGCCACTTGCACACCACTCTCTCTGTCTCGACCCGTCGGGGGCACGACGATTCTTTCGTCGACACACCGTGCGGCACACGCTGCTATTATGTAAGGGGAAACGCGTCCTCCTTGTGGTCGTGGTCGTCGTCGTCGTGGTCGTCGTCGTCGTCGCCGTCGTCGTGGTTGCGATCGTTCGCTTCGGTGCTAAGCAGCCAACATAATACAGGACGTGAACACGCACTGGACACGCGAAGGGGAGAGAACACGCGCTGGAAGGGCGACATGCGAAGAGACGCGTCGCGCCGGCCGCGTTACCACCACACACAGCCGTGCCACGATTATCCTAACCATCGACGATCCGTGCAGGAGTAAGGACGTGATATTCCAAGGGCGAACGCTGGAGCGGAGCATCCATGGAACTGAAAATCCTCTTGTTCGTTCACGTTGTGGGTGAGTGTAAGACATTGTCGTCAAACACCGTGTTAAGCAGCGCGTAACGTTCATGTTCCTGTGACCTTTGATGAATCCTCGCTTCTCGTAGTTTTTTCTTTCTTTTCTTTTCTTTTCTTTCTTTTTTTTTTTTTTTTTTTCACGGTCACGGCGCGTTTTTCACAGGAAGATCCTCGTCGTGCTTCCTTCGGCCTGACTCTCGTTCCTCGGCCATCCTTGCGGGACGTTGCCCCTCGCGTTCCTCTCTGTATGGATTAGATTCTCCTTCCAGCCAAGAACAAACATCGTTCCGAAGGAGAGCACGTAAGGAGTGAAACCGACAGAGACGTTTGTTCGTTCGTCGTACGATCAACGGATCGTGGATCCTCGTCTTAGATCAGTCACGAAGATTCGTGTACATCCCGGCGTGTATCGGCACGTCGATGTCTCCGTTTAGTCGGCGGTTCTCTCTTTGATAGCGCGAGATTGAAGCAAGCCAGAGGGTGGAAGGAACACGAGCTGCCGGATGAGATCAGAGGCATGAATTTTAAGTATGATTTCATGCACCAGCGGCGGGGTTGTTTGGTGGAAAGCGTGTTTGGCGGCTCGCTCGCTTTGAAGGGATTGAAACACGACTTAATTTCACCAACCACCGAGTTTCTTCTCCCGAGTACTTGCGATACATTTACATTTTCTCTTCCCTTTTCGATTTCTTTCCTTCCCCCAGAGACGTGCGATACCAACGTCAAACAGGACGTACATACGTCACATACGTACACGCGATCGGTTGGAACCGCGATAGGGACGAATATTATTTCATTAGACAACGAAAAGATGAACAAGAGCAGACAGCGTCGAGTTAACCGTGGAAGAATGTGTGTCGAAATTTCGGATATGAAATAATCGCGATCGGATTTCTAACGGACCGGACTGGTTCAATTAAAAATGAACGCGTGAAATCAAGCCGTTTGAACGTGAACGCGCGAGGGAGAGGCGACGAGAAAGAGAGGAAGGGGGGCCGGGCGAATATCGACGCTTCCGTGAAATTTTGTAATTTCACCTCGCTTCACGTGTCGCGACCGTGTGTATCGACCGACTCTTTGTTTAGGGGGTGGAAAAAGCGAAAAAAAAGAAGGAAAAAAGAAAAAAAAAAAGAGGGAAAAAAAGGGAAACAAGCGAATAAAGAGAGAAGGAAAAAGGAAGAAGAAACGAGAAAAAGTGAGCGTACGTGCACGGGGAATATGCAACAGAGAGAACGGTGTCGAAAAGAGGGCGAGAAGGGAGGGAAAATTGCGAACGAAAGTCAGATGTCGAGATCGTTTTTCGACAATGCACGAACGGGCGAAGGGGCGGGGACTCGTCACCGCGCGGTTAAAATATTTGTCCACGCAACTATTTATTCGGCGAACGCGAATTGAACAGCTCAATTGGCGAACACGTTTGCGAACGAATATCCCATCGACAAACAACGATATCGATCGACCGGGAGAGGGGAAAAAAAAATTACTTGGCGCGGAGATTCGTGCAGGGAAATCCGGAGAGGAAAAGAGAGAGGGAGACAGAGGGGGGGGGGGAGAAAAAAAAAGAACGTACACCAAGTTAGAAGGAGGAGAAATGTGAATAGGATATGGACGGAGGAAACGGTTGGAGAAAGGGACGATATACGAACAGACGTAGACAAAGAGTCGGAGAAAGACGTAGACACAGACGTAGACAAAGACGTGGAGAGCAAGTACGTAGAGAGAGATACGAGAGAGAATGGGAATCGAGAGGATTCTTATCCATCGGAGCATTGAACTCGCAAAAGGGGCTGGCTCGCGACGACGAGACGCTGTTCCGTGGGGTCACTGCTCCGAAACGGTCGAGCGGCCGTTTCCCATGGATGGAAATTTAGTGAATTTGACGAATAATTGTGTCAATGGATAATTGCGTTAACGCTGCTCGAACGAGCAGTACCGGTTTCGGCCAGGATATATGCCCCGTCACCCTTCCTCGTTCTATCGCGTTTCATTCGACGCAACAAATCGCAACTCCTTCCCCCACCGTTTAGTTTAGCCTGCGTCCGTCCGTCCGTCGTCGGCTTATTTCATCGTCACTTTGTAGAATTCTTCGAATCCTTTTTTTTCTTTTCGTCCAGCTGACCTGGCATCCACCCGGTCGCCATCGTTCGCCAAAAACGACGATCGCGGAAAAATTCGCGTGGAAAGTCTGCGACTTATTAATCGGAACGTATCGGCACGATTTTACGAGCTGACGAAATAGAAATCGGTGGAAGCGAGGATCGCGAATCGGTTCGAAACTTGCACGTCTCGTTTGTTTCTCAGCCGCGAGAACATCCCCTTTCGTCGAATCGCCGACGTGAAATACGATCGCGCGGCGTCGAAACGTCGATTCCATTGTAGCGATTCCATCGACATCGAGCGCTCTTTCCTTCCTCTTTTTCCTCGTTTCCAGGCTGCCTTTTTTCCTTTTTCTTTTTCTTTTTTTTTTTTCTTTTCTGCCTTTTTGTTCTTTATTCGCGCGGCGCCGCTAGATTGTTTTCCTTGCCCTTTTCAGCCTGCTTCACCCTTCTCACCTCTCATCTAGTGTATTTTCTTCCAGCGCGTTTCGTTCCTACCCCTTTTATCCTATTCTTCTCTCCCTCTCCCTCTCTCTTCTTTTTAATCACATCTCGGTAAGACTCCCTCGATACACGTGCACTTACACGGTTGTATAAAAGATGCAGAGTCGATCCGTTGGACCGTGTCACAACTTGGTCGCTCGGAGCTTCTTCTTTATTCCTCGCTCCAGCTCTCCTTTCTTTTCTCTTCTCCCTCTTCACCTTCTCTCTCTCTCTCTCTCTCTCTCTCTCTCTCTCTCTTTCACTCTCTCGGGAGGAGCACGTTCCTTTCTCTGGCAGTTCTTTCTTCGTGCTCTATCCGTAGTTGTCGTTACTCTCTCCAACTGGCCTCTCTCTCTCTCTCTCTCTCTCTCTCTTCTTTCCTTACGTCTCGTAGCTGTTCTTTTCACCCTCGGCCAACAGTCACGAGAGGTTAACGAGTCACGACGATTGTCATCTTTCACGCGGCATCGCCTTGCCAGCGAGACCTCGCTGAATAGCCTCGCGTTCGCCGCTCGTGAAACGCGGATCGTCGTCATCCTGGCCCCCTTCCACCCGCGGGGGAGCAATTCTTCCGGCGAGCAAGCGACCCGATTTATTCACAGACTCGTCGTCGTCCGGTCGCCGCTTCTTATTTCCCCGGTTCTTACGCAACCGGCGTTTCTTGCCGCATACACCACCCTCCCACTGATCAGATACAGAGACCGTGGCTGGGAGGAAGCGGAAGAATTCCTGGATTCGATCGGCATTTGGCAAACGGGAGATTGACCGGGACGCGTTTAATTGTCCGACAGACGGGGGGGATTGTGTCTCACATCGCGGATTAAAATATCGAGCAGCGACAGAGCGTCCCCGATTTTTCCACCCCATTGAGATCGCTAAGTGCTTTCTCCTTTTACCTCGAGTAAATAATTTTCGGCATTCCGTGGTACGTTAAATTAAAATTCGATTCCGAAGTGTCATTCGTTTGCAAATCGAAATCGAGCAAAAGATATATTAATATTATTATTATATTGTTATTAATATATTATTTATTATATTCTTATTATTATTATAAATAGATCTGCGTAAAAAGTAGTTTTCGTATTTTCAAGTCAAATTAAAAGACGGAATTTTCGTCTTGGGAATTTTATTAAACAACGTATGCACCATTTTGTTTAATAATTTTTTCGCCGTCTGATCGTCATCAACCACCAGCGGTCTATCTGAGCGTTCAAAATCTTTACACGTCGTATTACCAGCTCGAGATTTCGCACACACACTTCTTCATGTACAGTGCGTATCTTCTCTTTTGATATGTGTTGCATTTCCTCCATTTCGGAAATAAAAAAAGTATGCTTGCTTTGCACCGTATTGGCAATATCGCCAAATAAAAATTACCGAGTATAATGTAACAAACGACAGTCGAAAATACGCAGGTAAACACTCTTAGAAGACAAATACGTAGCGAAGATATCGAGTGAAGATTGTTTCAAATACTTCCTGTTAATTTGCCCGCGAAATACTTTTTACTCAACCCGATAGCTGAAATAACACGAAACTGACGTTCAGGCAAACGTGCCGAGAAATCTCATCCCGAAACTTCCCCATCGACTTCCTTGCAGACAGCTGTTTCGATTGTTTCGCGCGATTATTGGAACAGCGCGTGTAACAAAACAGACGAAATTTACCGTGATTGTAACAGCATCGTCGTCGTCGTCGTCGTTAAGATGTTGGTGTTGGCGTTAAACGCAATCCTCGCGACGCCATCCGCGCGACCTCGCTAATTTGCATCGGTGTTTATCATCCGGACTAACGGGAGAATTGCCGTGGGTGCGTTTCGTCGCCGTTTGGGAGCGTCGAGGAAACGGGCGTGTTCCTGCTCGGAAATCAGCGAGATGTTCCCTTTAGCGAGATGAGGCGGCGCTTTAATGTCGCCCACGAAATCCAAGCAATCCAAGCGTACGGATAATAGGTTCCGCAATGTGCGGAAGGTTGTAACATCGGTCAGGCGATCGAACCTTAGACGTCTCCGTACGTTTGGACGTGCCAATTCGCCGAAATCTCTAGGCTAGGTGTATAAGGGGCACGAAGCCTCAATTTGCGTCTTGTGAGATGCACCTCAGCTTCGGTTCTCCGTTCACGATCGAAAACCGTCGAGTCCCGCTTGTCAATGCATCAATTGATACGCCGTTACTTGCCCTGCTTCGATTTCGAATCCCGCTCGTACTTGGTGCGAGTTTCGCATGCACTTCCACGAGGTCCTTGGCTAAAGTTTCCAGCCCTTATCTTCTACGGTTTCTCTTCTCAATTTTCCTCGCCGCGCCAATGCGACACTTGTCCGATTTTACGAGTTGCCGGAGATTACGATACACGCGGTCCGCGATCCGCCGCAGTTCGTAAAATATTGGCTCCTTATTTCGCCTTTCGTAATTCGTTTGTC